ATAGATTGGAACAAGAGACTTCAAGAACAAAGAAAAATCTAACAAATGCAGAATAATAATTCAGATTTAAGAACTTTATTAATATATTTCAAAATATCTATCGAATTCACCCTAATATATCAAAAAAAGAAAAGAAGAAAAATTAAGAAAGGAAAACAAGATAAAGGTAAAGGACAAAACATTTTTGGTCTCGTAGAGGCTAAAATATTAGACAAGATTCAAGAGGAATCAAGACCCAAAATTATTTTAACAAACCCAGAAGATTGGTTGGCAGAGATAATATATCAAATTTGTATTAAAGATGATTCAAAATATAATAAGAAAATATGAAAAAAGACGAAAAAAGACCTTTTGGTAAAATAGATATATGGACTGAAGTCCCAATGAAACTTGAATACAAATTCATCTCAAAGTACAACAACACCTAGGCCGAGAGGTATCAAAAATTGAAAAAAAAAAGATATATTATTAGAAATATTAGAAAAGATCTTTGTAAAGTATCTCAGAAATCGAAAGATCTTTAACAAAATACAAGAAAGATTCTTGAGAAAAAAACCAAGTTTCAGAAGGGAAAAGAAAAGTAGGAAGACCAAGAAAAGAGGAAAAGAAGACTCTCATACCCAGAATATGGAAAGAAGAGAACTCAAACAGACTGACCAAGATTCTAAAATGAAGAAGTCAGAAAAAGATTTATAGTATATAAAGAAAAAGAGAAAGAAAAAAGAAAGACTCGGAAAAATATTTCTGGAAAAAGCTGACAGATCAAACCCTCAAGAAGAAGAAGAAAGAAAATTCGAAACTATAAACCGGGAAGGGAAAGTTACAGAAAAGAATAAGAGAAGACTCTTAAGACCTGGGTCTCAACTCAGAAAGGACAGGTTAAACTAGAAGAAGAGAAAAAGAAAAAAGAAATATAAACATGAACAAAAGAACTTTGGCAATAACCCTGTTTTGAAAGAGAAAAATTTTTGGTTTATTCTTAGAAAATTAGAGTTAGAACTTTGTTTAAAAAAGGTGGATAGTTTAGAAAGAAAAAATTGCCAACTTAATATAGTAAAAAATTCATTCGTTCTGAAACTATCTTGGGATGATTTCCTAGGCTAGCTTAGTATAACCCTTCGGTACAGGCAATAACCTTAACTGGTGAGGCAGATCGCACTTGGGCACCTTTAGGGGCAGCCAAGTGATATTAGATCTGTAATTTAGATAGTTTAGATGTACTTTGTGCATATGCTTTGATCTAATAAAGATACTAGCGAGACTGCCAATATGTTCAAAAAAAAAAAAAAATTATTTAAAAATCAAAAAAATATATTAAAATACAAGAAAAATTTCTAAAAAGAAAACCAAATATAAAAAAAAAGAAAAAAATATATATTTGAACCTGAAGAAGAAAAAAAAAGCTCAAATAGATTAATTAAAATCTAAAAACAAAAAAGACCAAAAACAACATCAAAAAAATTAAAAAGAGTAAAAATCTATAAAAGAGCATTTCTAGAAAAAACCTTTAGAATAAACTTTTTAGAAAAAGAAAAAGAATATGAAACTATAAAACAAAAGAAAAAATGTAAAAAGAAAAATAAAAGAAGATTTTTGAGAGCTAGATTACCTATAAGAAAAAACAAAATGAATTAAAAAAAAAACAGGAAGTTTAAACATAATCAAAAGAATTTTGACAATAATATTATAGTGAAAGATAAAAATAAATTAGGTATTAGAATAGAATTAGAAGTAGATTATTATTTTAAAAAGTTGGATAAAGTAGAAGAAAATAATTACTAATTGAATATAATTAAAAATTTTTTTGAAATGAAACCATCTTGTTATAGTTTTACTGGCTAGCTTGGTGCAACCTTCCAGTACGGGCAATAGCTAAGGCCACACAAATTTAATGTTTTGGTTTTTATAACATGAAGCTTTTAAACAGACCCGGCCGGCCAGCTTTTTTTTTTTAAAAACCCACCCAGTTATTAAAGCATATAAAAATGTTTTTTACAAGTTTTTAAATTTTGACCCGGCCGGGTTATGAATTAATTTTGCATAGCCTAGTAGTATTACAGTAAATTACAAATTTGCAAGTTTTAGTAAAGTACCAATACCTTAACTGAAAAAAAAACATATTTAGTAAAATCAAAAAAAAAATAGCAAAAGAAAAAAAAAAAAAAAAAAATAGCAAAAGATGAAAAAAGAAAAGAAAAAAAATATAAAATAAAAAAAATAAAAGTTTGTAATAGACAATTAATTAGAAAAAATAATAAACCATTTGGGTACTAGGGCTAGTTCAACGCAGCAACCGGACCAGTCGCATCTGGGCACCCTTAGGCAGCCGGATGATTTCGGGCTTAAAATTAAGTAAGCATTTGTGTAATGAGTTATACAATAATCTTAATAAAATTGCCGGCGAAGCTGCCAAAGTCAAAAAAATAAATAAATTATTTTATATGCAAATAATACAAACAATCTTAAAAACCCAAATGACTTGTCATTATTTGCTAACTTAAGATCATTTAAATATTTTGGTTTTTTACCATTGAGATTTGTGCGAGATGAAATCATATGATGTAACTTACACAAGAATAATATTAAATTTTGCGAGGTAATCTTCTAACCCTTTATCGTTATATATTCAAATTAAGCCATTAGCTCGTGATTGTATTTCGTCATCATCTCTAATCGATTCCTTAATCTCGTGGATTTACCTACCGATATTTCTTTAACTTTCGAACCTTAAATTAGTATAAATTATCTCTATTTTTTGACAGGATTAGTTTGGAAGGTCAACAGTGTATTTTATAGTAACAACGTAATCTAAACGTAGACTCATTAGCCGTCAATCCAGATCGTACATATATACATATATGTATATTTGCTTTCCCAATAAAAGTAACAGGATGAGCTAATTCTTTAATTTGCAATTCCTTTTTTTAGATTAGCGAGCGCTAAGTGTGAAATTTAAATCAACCTAGATTTACTGAAATTACAGATTTCCGACTAAAATTAAAAATTTTGAAGATCCTCGACCTAAATTACATTAACGCAGGCTAAAAATACTACACATCTTTTATACGAATACCTATGTTTTAATTGTACATAATGGTAATTGCAATAAAATCTTTCGATTAGAGAAGCAATAAGTATCCTGAGCACTATGAAGATTTGTGTATAATCATAGTATATATGTTGTAGGTGGGAATAGAATTTCAAGGTGAGTTAGTCGTGCCATAAAAATGTCGCGGTCTCGTGATTACCGACCTCTTCCGACCCGAAAATTCAGAATTAAAATACTAATAGTTTTTTTTTAAAATTTACGTAATATTTTAACTTTTAGTATTTTAAATGTAGTGCGTAATTTAAAATTATTGGGTCGGAAGAGGTCGGTGATCACGAGACCGCAACATTTTTATGGCACGACTAACCCACCTAGAATTTAAGTTGATTCGGAATTTTTAAGGTTAGAGTTGGGATTTTTAGTATAATTAAAAAACTTTCAATATTCCGTTCCAATCTAAGTGGATTCCGAACCCTATTATCGTTCCATTCCCACTTACAACATATATAGGTAAATATGTGGCGATACCAACGAAAATCACCTGAATTATGATGTAAAAATCAGGATATATTTTGCTAGATGGAAACATCATGATATCATATATTAGCATCAGCAATTTAACATGATAAAATATTGACATCATGATATTAAAAAAATATAACTATATATATATAGTATATAATCTTTTTCCCCATACACTGGATATTTTTTTTTGCAACAAAAAAAAAACAAAATGAAAGACTCAATTTTCGTTCTTGAAGCAGACAGACCAACGGGCATTGCCACTATATCCGCCCTCTTCAACACTGGTTCTAAGAAATCAAATCGTCGTATCAATGTAAAGGCTGGTGTGAGTCCAAATAGTTCGCAGGAAGTTCGTGAAAAGCTTTCACAATGTGGAGCAGAAGTTGTAGTAATCGATGATCCACAAAATGTGAAATTTGATGGTGTTCATAAATTAATGATCATTTTGGCACCCGAAAGATTGGATGCAGGATTCATTTATGTTGAAGCTGCTAATCGGGACATGGTTCCTTTCGTATTGTTGCAATCGATTGTTAATGCTGATGAACGGGATGATTATGTAGCAACGAAGTTTGGAGAACTTGAAGAGAAAGTTAAAAAGACAATAAAAAAAGAATGTAATAATGATGAAACTGAGGATCTTAAAGATTCTCATGTCCACCGCTATTGGTACAAAATTTAAATATATCGGTATCAATTTTATTATATAGGTTAAAAATAATATATGTATTTAATATTTAGGACAATTTTAAGAACCGGAGTTTATGATCATTACTTGTTAGCGTTCAAGGATTGCATTAAAAAAGGTGTTTTAGATCTGCCTATTGGTGACGGGGAGGTGAGAGATATTATTAATTAAAGATATGAATTGAAGATATTATTAAATTTATTTAACTAAATTAAATTATATATAACAAAAAAAAAAATTTAGTTTGCGCCAGTTGCAGTCGAAGATGTAAGTATATACAAAATAAAAAAAAATAAAAGAAATTTTTTTTAAAATATATATATTATTTTACTCGTTATAGATCGGCAAGATCGCAGAACATATACTTGATAAATCTGAAAACTATTATTCTCATACTTATACCGTTACTGGATATGAACTTTTGTCTGGCAAACTTCTCGCCGAACGTCTAAGCAAAACTCTTCACCATGAATTAGTTTATAAACCGTCTGAAGATGAAAAACATATCAAAGAACATATTAAGCAATATGTCACTACTCCTATTGAGGTCGAAAGCGTCTATCGTTTATTCAGGTTTATTAAGGAGGGTAAATTGAAATATGTAACTCCTCATTTTACTGAAATTGAAGGATGGAAACCTAAAACGGTTGTGCAATTCTTCTTGGAAAACAAAGATGAGATACTAAAATAATTGGAATGTTTATACATATTTTTTTGTTTTGTAACACCTTTTTGAATTATCAGTTTTTATTAAATTCATTTTGCATGATATATATCGTGACACAATACTCTAAAAATATCGGTGGTACTTCTATTATATATGATGTGTAATTGCGGTATAATATAGTATTAATTAGTTGACTACGTATTCGCCCTCGAATAATTATTGTGTATTGAAGAAAAAATTCTTTCATGTTAACTCTCTGTAGTATATATAAATGGGGTGAAATTACTTTCTTGATAGAAAAATCGTTGAATTAAATGTTAAAAAAGTTCTTAAATCTGAATTATTATTCTGCATTTGTTAGATTTTTCTTTGTTCTTGAAGTCTCTTGTTCCAATCTAT